TAAAGCCTAAACCCCTAAACCCTTATAGACCGAAAGCCCTTAAGCCCTCTAAACCCACATGCTCCAAACCCCAAGCCACAAAGCCTAAACCCCTAAAACCTTAGACCAAAAGCCCTTAAGCCCTAAACCCTATATCCCCAAGCCGCAAAGCACGTAAGCCCTGCGCCCATCGAGGCCTTGCTCTTCGTGGCGCCCCGGGGGACGGAGTTGACCTGTGCCGGCCGGAGGGCCCAGAAACCTTGAAACCCTTCATGGAACGAGGGTTTAGGGTTTAGGGTTTAGGGCGAGGGTTTAGGGTTTATACGAAATTTATCGGGACCCTGCGAAAGAGTAGGTTTTGGTAGGTTAAGGTAGGGTCTGGGTTTATACATTAAGGGAACCTACTTGAGATCTCCTGGCGCCAGGTGTTACTTTTGTCTTTTCGGATTTAGGGTGCGGAGTTTTGTTTAAGTGCCTTTTTTTCCCAGAGGGTCCATATACACTACCAATATGGAAGCAGGCCGCCAAAGACCAGACCTTGGTCTATAATAGTAGTAGATGTGGACCCTCTTGGTTTGAAGGCTTGTATAGACAACCCTGAACCCTAAACCCCAAACCCTAAACCCTAATTATACACCCAAACCCTAAACCGAGACTCCTGAAACTTTCATGGGCTTCGCAGGACTTTCGTCTCCTCCGGTTGTTCGGGTTGATTTCGGGTCCCGGGTCTAGGGTTTAGGGTTTAGGATTCCAGGTTTAGCGTCTAGGGTTCCGGGAAGGACAGGCAGCAGCCAGATCTCCATGGACCGCGAAACCCTCAAGAACCCCAAGCCAGAAAGCCACAGACCTTAAGGGTTTAGGGCTTAGGGCTTAGGGTTTAGGGTTTAGGGTTTAGTATTGAAGCTATTTACCACCTAACCTGTTCCCATCATTAAGGGCCCCTACATGAGCCCGAAACCCTAAGCCAACAACCCCTTTCCCTCTACCCCAAGCAATCCTGAACCCAAGAGTCCTGAACCCTAGCCGCCAAACCCTAACTCCCAAACCATACAACCCCAAACCAAAATCGCATATGCCAAAGCGGAGGAACCCTTTTGTGGAACTTGTTCATAACACCTGTAACAAGTAGCAGCCCACAACAGGAAGCCATTGCAGGAAGGCTTTTGCACCCTGAACCCGACCCTAAACCCTAAACCCCAAACCCTAAACTCTAAACCCTGAACCCTACACCTTCAACAACCTTAAACCGTAAACCCTAAATCCTAAGCCTTAAAGTCCTAGCTTATACTACCAAATCCTACTGTAGGTTCTGATTATAGGATCGCAGACCTAATGTGGAGTTTTTTAGGGACCCTACAAAAAAGTAGGTTTTGGTCGGTTACTTGGAGGTTGATGGGTAGTAGGGCTTCGGAGTCCCGGAATATGGGCTATAATTCTAGTCACCCCTAATTATACCCCACTTGTAACAACCCTGAACTTCCGCCTACTCTAAACCCTAAACCCTAAACCCTAACCCCTAAACCCTGGACCCTAAACCCTAACCCCTAAACCCTAACCCCTAAACCCTAAACCCTAAACCCTAAACCCTAAACCCTAAACCCTAAACCCTAAACCCTAAACCCTAAACCTAAACCGACTGCCAAGGCTTCCTCCCAGGCAGCCTTGGAGGTGGCGGTGGACTGGGCGGCTGGGTGGATGCCGAGCGCATTGCCTGTACGACGCAGGATGCCCGGTTAGCATTTAGGGTTTAGGGTTTAGGGGTTTAGGGTTGAGGGTTTAGGGTTTAAGGGTTTAGGGGTTTAGGGTTTAGGGTTTAGGGTTTAGGGGGTGGTACGGCTTCGTAGGGGCCTGGGAGTTTTGGGGATTTTAGAAGGCTTCCGCCGGTTTTTTGGGGCTTAAGCCGGTCGAGCTTCCCAGACTCTGTAGGGTTTTATTAAGGCTAAGCTGTAAGTAAGCCTTTTTGCAAGAGTGGTGGAGCCTTTAGGGTTTAGGGTTTAGGGTTTATAGGGTTTTGATTTTCCGGTTCTCGCCATAATGCCAACTAGCAGGTAGCATACCGCACAACGTGAAACCAACTACGACCACCGTTGGGTACACAAGCATCCGGCGCACACTATCCCAGAGAGCCCAATACCCCTTAATAAAGGAATATGCCTTATAAACTATATTACTGAGGTCTTTGTAATTTGAAGTATGTTCCTTAGTTGAGGGGTATTGGGCTCTCTGGGATCAACTGCAAGCCTAGCGTCTTTGCTTTGCATCCTGCCGGGTTGGTGATCTTCCGAAGAGCAAAGGAGCTTAACCGCGACTTGCCAGCACGAGCTTGTTCTTCAAACGGTAAAACTTTTACCGTCAGCTTGCACGGTGCATTTGAGGTATGTTTGGGGTGCCTTTCAGGGTGCGTTTCAGGTGCATTCCAGATTTGAGCGTTTTGCATGAATGGTGCATTTCAGTCAGGTGCGTTTCAGGTGCATTTCAGGTGCGCTTCAGCGTTGTCGGCGATTGTGCTCGACAGGGTCCTGGTGGTCGTTTGGTTCGCAACCCGCGCAATAGGTTGCTAACGCTTGCAGGCCTAAAGTAACGGCCTACAAGCGTTAGCAACCTATTGCGCGGAGTCCGAGCCAAACGACCGCCAGGACCCTGTCGGCCACAATCGCCGACAATGCTGAAGCGCATTTGACATGCACCTGGCACGCACCTGAAATGCACTATTCACGCAAAACGCCACGCCCAAATCTGAAATGCACCTACCCCAAACACACCTCAAATGCACCGTGCAAGCTCGTGCTGGCAAGTCGCGGCAAGCTGTTCTGGGCTTGTGCTCCGGAATGTCATCTGGAAAGCGAGAGATGGGAAGCGAAGGCATTGGTGTTAGAGGCGTTCGATGTGGATTGTCAGTTGAATTCTACTTGACAGCACGAAAACTCAACCTTTCTAAGTTGCAACTTGGTTCAAGCTCAACCTGTTAGCATCCCGTTCTGTAGCACTCTTGATAGTATTCTCGCAGGCCACGCTTCCCACCACGGGGCCCTGCGCCGGACCGGGAATTTCGGTCGCTGGGCTACAAGACAGTGAGGTTTAGGGGTTTAGAAAGGGGCCTTAACATTTAGAATAGGGTTTTGGGGTATATTACCATAATTGTAGTAAGGAACCCCAAAAGCCTATTCTAATTATTAAGGGCCCCTATATTTTGGGTTTACCGGGTTTAGGGTTCGGAGCTTGAGTTTGGATTTGGGGTTCGAGGGTTTTGGGTTGAGTTGACAAGGGTCCGGGATACTTTGTTACTATCATGTGTCCCGCGCATTCTGGGTTCTGGCGAGGAGGGCAAGACTTGAGTAGTGAGCGGATGGCTGGACTAGGGGCTCATTGATGAGAGGTATGATCCAGCTCTCAAGCCTTGTGCAAGGTGTCATTATCAAGTGTTGCCAGCTGCGCAGACTGCAGCTTCAACCTTTTAGTGATCCCGCCATTGTCTACAGCATCTTCGGAGTAGGGTGGCACCCCGGGCTTGCTACCACCACAACTGGCGTCGCCGCCACCACCGCCGCCGCCACCACCACCCCCACCACCACTGCCGCCGCCGTCGTCATCGACTTCGTTCATCACCGGCATTAGTTGTGCCATGAACCATCAAGCAATGCGAGCAACAAGAGCGACATTTTCGAAGGCAGCTAATCACAGTAAGTAAAACAAACTCACAAGGCCAAGACCGCTTCCTGTCCGGAGCTGACTGCGGCCCACCCCTCGCAAACTCTATCCAACCTCCCACCCCCATCCTTGCCCTCAACACGAATCCCTAAATCCCTACACCCTAAACCCTAAACCCCAAATCCCTGAACCCTAAATTTCTAAACCCTAGTTCCTAAATCCCTACATCCCTATGCCCGGGACATGGTCGGCATCGGTTCATCCCTGAAGTGTTAGCCAGAGGCCCGCCAGAGGTTCAAGGTTTAGGGTTGGTTTAGGGTTTAGGGCTTCGGGCTGATAGGGTTTAGGGTTTAGGCTTTCGGGTTGGTAGGGTTTAGGGTTTAGGCTTTCGGGCTTATAGGATTTAGGGTTTAGGGTGGAAGCCTTCTTGCCTTCAGGTGTCCCCAGGCCTTTGGAGCATGCTGCAGCCCCGGCGGTGGAAACGTCTGAGGGTTTTCTAAACCCTAAACCCTAAACCCCTATAAACCCGAAACCCTAAACCCTAAACCCAAAACCTTATTATTGCTTTCTTGTTATGATTCTCAGTATGGTTACTGCTCTTCTTATTCTTATGTTGAAAATATTCTTATTATTGTTTCTTATTACAAATATTATTATGCCTATTCGTACAATTCTGACTATTCTTATTCTTATCTTTAACTATTCTGCTTATTCCCTAAACCCTTAAACCCTAAACC